ATGATGCTGCTTGGCCTGCTGTGTTCATCCAGCCCTGCACCTTGTTGCCTCGGATTCTCCAGCATCTGCAGTTCCTACTATTACTAGTTTGCTTGTGTTATTAGATTTCTGGTGCAGATGTATGGAGTTCTTAAATTTCTGTTTAGCATTAAACCAATTGATTCACTGTGCACAAAATTAAAATCACAGATTTGATTGGTTGAACATAACATTCTATTTTCAAGCTGCGTGCAACTTTTTTCCAAATAGAAGAACTAATAAATGCTTTAGAGTTAGCTACCAGATTGCCTTTCTATGCCAATGTGTGATTCTTCCTACAATGTTTCCTTGTTTCTCTTCCCACTGACCCACACCTAGTTCTGTCAACCAGCCTAAAGAAGCCTCTGACCCACACTCCTCTGTAGCAATTCAACATACACGTGGGAACATTTATGCAGACATGGATCACCCATGAAAAGCCAAAGGGTACAACTAAGTGCATTCAGTTTAGTCAGTTTTAGCCAGCTTGTCAATCCACCTTAATTACCATTATGGTAATGTCATAAATGTGAGGGTAGATATAGTACTCAGTGCCTATTTGTGATGAGGTTGTATGGGTACACAGACAAGAGAAGCTTTGCCAATCCTTGGTATAGACGGAAGGGGACGACAACGCATTGAAGTGTGGTCAAATATCAGTCAGAAACACTCCCTGGTAAATGCTGAGAGCCAACACAACCCACAGTAAATTCTACCAGATTCATTTGGACACGTGAAAACACCATTAGCTGTTGAACACCAGAAGAAAATACATAATTTTCAAACTTTGGATTCACTAAGGTGGAAAATTGCTATGCTTCCTCTGCCCTTTTGAGGATTAATGGATGTTTACCTTCCTACAGATAATTTCCAATGCTAATCTAATGAACAGAATTTATTGGAACCAGCTTTTTTTTTTTTAAAAAAACTTTTGCAGAAATGGAAAGCCAGTATTAATTTAAACCAGAGATTTCATTTGTTCCAAACAGGAAAAACAATATAAATCACTTTTAAAATCATTAAATCCTGACTTAAATTAATAAAGTTATAATTAGGGCATTATGCTGTATTTGTTATGAAGTGGCAGGGCGAGCTGCCTTAATTACTGTCTATAATAAAAAGAGCAGAGTGCACGCTATACCCCAATCAGTGCTGTCAGCTACAGAAAAGCCAAGCTGCACACTCATCAACAGCATCAGCAGCAAACTATGCATGAAAGGGCAACCATCTCTGCAATCACCGACAGGCAAGAGTGTAACCTGTCAAATAAGATTCTGGATTTTCAAATTACTAATGTGTACTTTTTAACATGTGCAACAATGACATAATAAATGCGATCAGTATAATCAGAGAAACAGCAAATTCATGCTAATAGAACAAAGATTAAATTATAGCATAAATTTCAATTCTAATAGCAGCAAAACTGTCTAGCACTTAAGGTGTTGCCTTCTATTAAGATGAAACCCCACTCACGGTTCAAGCACCCAGCCTTATTGTATTAGTTAGTCCATACATTACTTTTGTAACTGGTGTTACGTCTCAGGCTGGCAACTCCTAAATTTGACAGAGCTTCTTCTGTAACTACAAACTAAGCAGGTAGAATAAGGTAGACAGTTTTTCATCTCTTCCACCCCAACACCCCCCCTCACACATTTAATACTTAGAATTTCCATGTTTTTACAATTAAAAGTCGAAAGTATCTCTGTAATTTGACTTCCCATTTGCCACTCATTCATTAACATTAAATGCCCTATTTTCAGGGGTTTAATCAGTACTTCGATTTTGACCAGCACTGCCCCTGACGTAAAACATGACACCAAGCAGTCATGACAAAAACTACCTTAGGTATGAAAACTTGTGTCTTGAAGACAAGTTTCCAGAAATTGACATTACGATAGCCATAGGTTCATCCAGTTTATCAGAATAACATTTAGACACTGGACTTAGTTGTTACATTTTCCAAAAAGTCTATTTGACAGACTTATCACAATTATCAATTATTCATCCAAATTACAGTTATGTAGAAACTGCTCGTCACAGGACTCAATAATAATGGAGTCACTAACTAATCACGTCAAACACACACTCACAACAGACTTAAATAGGACAAAAAATTCTGACGTAAAAGGTGAGAAACAAGTCTCTACACAAGTAGAAATCCCTTATTTCTCCAAAGCATGCTATATAATTCCACCTACATCATGTCTCAAATTACCCTCATACTACAGCCAACATATATTTTTGAAATTGCCTTTGATGAAACAAACATCTGCTTTCCCTATTTCTTTCAGGGACTTACTAGTTCACTGAAGTATATTTCTGCAGCTTAGTTTTGTATTTACCTTGTTTTAAGTGCAGGCCCATCATCTGACTCTGGAACAATTTTAGGGTGTTATATTTACCTTTCTTCATTCCGTTTCTCTTTATCCGATTCACTATCGCTTGACTCTTCACTTGAACTCGAACTGCTGTCTTCATTCTTGCTGTCACTTTCACTCTCACTACTAGATTTACAACCTGAGATTGAATGGCAAGAGGTTTAAGGTCATTTTATTCCTGTCATTTCAAATTTTAGACTAAGTTCACATTGGTTCCAAGCAATTTAATTGACACAAGCTCAATTAAAGTTTGTTTTAAAAAGAAGTTCACTACAGTAAGAAATCCCATTATTCAGAAGCTACCCAAATACAAATACAAATGAAGGTCAAAGAGGTCAATTTCAGATGATTTCATGAAATGGTTATCATTCCACAAGTTTGAAAATATTTTAAGTAGCTTCTGAAGGCGGCTCTAGGCCCGAAACGTCAGCCTTCCTGCTCCTCTGATGCTGCTTGGCCTGCTGTGTTCATCCAACTCTACACCTTGTTATCTCAGCTTTACCAAGGTATAGTTTGAAAAAAGAATAATTTGCTTACTAAAATGGGACTTAAAGCCCACTATGATGCTCAGTTGATGTTGTCGTCATGACTAGGTTAGAGTTGGACACAAGACTGTTCAGGGCCAAAGATCCAGGCACAACTCAACATCACAGCTACTTAGTCCATGTAATACAGTCTTGCTTTATTTTTGTTCTCAAGTTTGTTACAAGATTGAATAAAATGTAAAAATAATCAGCTCTTCACATCACTGAAAAAAGAAGAAATGGTGAAAGTTGCCATGGTCACATATGGGCACTGCTTGACTATGACAAATATGAACATCTGTTCTCAATTTTGGACTGAAAGGTTCCTTCAAAAGCAGCTTCAAAGCATGACCTCGTGGATATAACAGAATCCACATGCCATGAATAAGGCAAGAGACCTGCAACATATGTTGGAAGGGATTTGTTTACATCATAATTCTATTTCTCCAGTTTCTCCCAGTATACTTACCTTGACTGGAGTCTTCCTGCTCCTCAGAATCAGAGTAAAACTTGCCACCCAAATTATCTTTCTTTCCTTTCAATTTACCTAGTGGCGTCACCAGTTCCTTAATCTGTCAGCAAACACAAACAGCTCAGACTTAAAACAGCTTTAAACAAAAAGATATCTGAAATATATAACAGTGGAAGTAATTAAAATGACCAAGGGTCAGGGAGGGGAAAACAAAATGGTAGGAGCATTACAGTGCGGAAGGAGGCCATTTGGATGGAGTCCACATCCATCCTCCAAACAGCATGCCACCCAGATTCAGCGCCCCACCATATCCCATAACCCCATATCTACCATGGCTATTCCACCTAGCTGACACATCCCTGAAACCTACAGACAATTTCAACATGGCCAATCCACCTAAAATGTACATCTTTGGACTGTGGAGAAAACCAGAGCACCTGGAGGAAACCCATGCAGGCAGAGGGAGAATGTGCAAACTCCACATAGTTGCCTGAGGCTGGAATTGAATCCAGGTCCCGAACGAAAAGTTAACCACTGAGCCATCTTGTTGGCCTTAATGAAAAAAAAATGGAAAGGTAACAGAAGGTGTGAAGGCAAGGAAGGTGAAAGGGTGGTAGGTAGACAGGAGGAGAGAAAGGCGATTAAACAGAGAGACTGGCCAACGTTGTCTGTGTCCCAGCAACTTCTAGAAGTAAATAAATCTGGGCATTTGATGAGGAGAGGTTCAATTTCTTGATTTTAATAGGCCAACACACACACACAAAACTAGTCTTGTAATAATAGTCACTTCAGTGAAAGCTGATGATTGGAACCTCAGCAAGGGTTAATGTCCTAAAGGAATAAAGATGAGAAAATGGATTACAAAATGGTTTCAGAACTGGCTGTGAGCCAATCCGTCTAAACTTAGACTGCACACGTCACAAAATTCAGCAGCACTCCATATAATGTGCAAGGTGTTATTCCACTGCAAGTCCCCTTGGCCAAAAAAAAAGCAAATAGATGAGAAAGTGAGAACTTCACTAGGCAGTAATGAGCACATAGAATAAAAAAAATGCTGGTGTTGAGAAATGTTGGACAAGCACTTCTTTTAATATAATAAACAAAAACCCACAGAAAATAAGTTTTTTGAGCATATTGGCATGCAATAAAAACAAGTCAGGCAGAAGATCATACTGAATAGTGGAAAAGAATCAAGAGGCCACATGGTCTACTCTGCTCTTACTACTTCTATCACGTGCCTAATCCAGGTGAATCCAATTAATGTGGTCCTCTTCGGTCATTACTGTGGACACTAGCACTGAACCAGCATTGGCCCCACAACGGATTTATTGGATAATCATCAAACCAAATGTAACTCAAAGAAAGAATGCTCAACAAAAATCATCTTTAGATACATACCAAAAGTTGTACATACATTAGACAATAACTTAATCTACAGGAGATTGGAAACATTGGATCTACAGAAAGGTTGGATTTGTTTCATTAAATTATCCAAGGTTATTTTGCTGCACCTTTCCAACTTTAATTTCTCTGCTTGGGTGTTGCTGCTGGTTGGAGCTTGGCGAGACTATGCAAGGAGAGGGATGAAAAGGAAGAGTGGCTGATTTTGGAAAACACTATAGGAGTTGAAACGTATGGGACACGATTTCCCTGTTGGATATTGAAAGGCTCATGTAACATTTACTAAGATGTTTAGGCATTTACATTAGTGGTATCATATGGCAGCATTTATGGATAGACAGTAGAGAAATAATTGTGCTTATAGCAATCACTACCTTAAAATAATTCAAGAATTTTGCATAGTAATATGCAAAGTATTACCATAAGAACTGCAGATTGCTAAATAATATAAAAGGGCGACATGGTGGCTCAGTGGTTAGCACTGCCGCCTCACAGTGCCAGGGACCAGAGTTCAATTCCACCCTTGGGCAACTGTCTGTGCGGAGTTTGCACATTCTCCCCGTGTCTGCATGGGTTTCCTCCCACAGTCCAAAGATGCACAGGCTAAGTGGATTGGCCATGCTAAATTGCCCATAGTGTTCAGGGATGTGTAAATTAGGGGGTTACAGGGGGATGGGCGTGGGTGGGATGCTCCAAGGGTCGGTGTGGACTGTAGGGATTCTATCATCAATCATCTAAAAAAAATGACAAAAATTTTAACTCATTCAAATTGCAGTCCATAAATTGAAAGTGTCAATGCTGACACACACATTAAATACCAAATCATTATTTTTGGAAAAATAAACTTCAATTCTACACAGTAAAGCATCTGACTAATTTGGAAACTTCTTTTCAGTTCATGTCTTTATATAAAAGAGCCACTCAGGCTAATAATTAAGCGATGGTTCCAAAAGTATGGTAACAAAATAAAGAACATTTTCTATTCTAATCCACTTCTTTGCCTCCTTCCCACTTATGAAAAACTGGCCAAAAACCATTGATTAAAATAAAATTTCATACTGGCTGAATGACTTCCACATTTCGGACTGAAGGGTCAGGGGCAGTCTCCGGCCACTCTGGAAGCTCGAGATACCCATTTGCTTTAGTATTAAGTGTATGCGATAACGTGCTCAGTTGAAAGCGATCCCTATCTGTTGAATAAAAAAATATAAAAAAAAACGTAGACTTTATGTCACAGAGTCTTAATCAGCACCAATGATAATTGGGAGTGAATTATCCCAAATGTCACAGTATAAATAAAAAAAGGAGATGACTCCTCATAGGTCAGAAAACTGATTTCAGACCATAGATTACAATAATCTCACCTATAATGGTCAATAAAAAAGCTAATCATTCAGTGTATTTGGAGGTGTTGCAGCGAAATGCAGCTCCTGTAAAAATTACTTTAGTGTGAATATTAAGAATGACAGCACAGTTAAACAATCCGTATACATGTCTTGCTACAAAACTCATTCAGAATTTTAATACTGTTTTGCTACCAACTGAACTGTTTCCAGTTTTCCTTCTACACATAACAGCAACATAAATGGAAATGCATTAATGCCAAAATACTACTTTCCAACAGTTTTAAGTTTTTAAATATAGGTACAAAATAAATTTCAAGAACTAAAGGCAAACATGCAATACAAATACAGAATCCTTTTAATTTCACTTTGATAAGAGGGCTATGATAAGACTCCAGGAAGATGGCCTAAATCCAGAAGATGCTCATGTTTTCACAACACAACAATAAGAAAACACAATTAAAGATCAGAAATAGTGGATTTCCTAAGACATCATCTAAAATAAATTGGAGCATATGCCATCAGATAGCACATAGCATACAATCTATGATTAGGTTCATTGATTTACTGTGATTCAAAGTCAAATTGCATTATTACCAAGTACTGTAGGAATGAGAGATATTTGCACTTTAATTTCATAATTACGTGCGTAATTGGGCGGAAATTGTAAATCCGTGGCGTTAATTACAATTAAATATTAACTCAACTATGTTGCCTCGGACAGAGAAGAGGAAGACGGCAAACATATTTCATTAAGATGGGCTACAGGAACTGCAAGTAGTTGTACTTGCGAGTGGGGTTGGGGTGATGGGAAGCTGCTCCTTGAGCAAGTTGTTCTAGTCAACTCAAGAAGCTGTTGCCTACTTGTGAAGGCATGGTCCAAATCCATTACCTCTACTACCTAGGAGGGCAGCAGACCCAAGGCAACACCACAACTTACACCCACACATCTTTTCAATTTTCAACAATAGCTACCAGTGATGTTCATGGAAGACTAATCAACATCCTACGAAAGTGTCCAAGTACAGAAATTGTCAGCACTGGCCATCATTTCAACACAGACAGCAACAATTAGCCTGCACACGTGGGCAGTAAAATTTCCAAGATCAGAAGTAGGTAAACTCTTTTTACTGGAGGTATGTTGAAGTTACTGTAGATGGAAATCAATTAGAATTCTGTGATTTTACTCTCTGTATTAAGCTCGCTGTTAAAACCCTTGCGGAAATTGCACCCTCTTGAATAAGGCTCATCCGAGTTTTTTTTAAAAAAAGCTACACTCAAATCACAATGAATTGTAAACAACCTCTCTGATTTTGAAAAAGTGTATCTGCAGAATCTCAAACCTTTTTTAAAAAAAAATCTTTCCCCTAAATATGATATTTTAGCTTCTATCTTTATTCTATGGTGTGTCCCAATTATTACTTTGCTTTCTGTGAAAGTAGCATTCTTCCTGGATTGCTCGGTGAGCAGTCTTCATCATGATTGATTACTGACTGATAACATCAGTGTGACAGAGTCAGGGATACCCTATAGCTGGGGCCAACATGAAAGTACCATCAGAAAAGGTTAAATCCGTAACAGGGAATCACTAGAATTTTGAGATAGCGGTATGTACCATTTCTTTGCCACTGTGGGGTAGAATCTAGGTCCAGAGGGTATAATCTCAGACTAAGGGATGGTTCATTTGAGACATTACTTTCTTCTTGGAGGGTAGCGAATCTGTTAAATTCTTTACTGCAGGGGACTGTATATTCTCGGTCATTAAATATATTCAAGGCCAATAGTGACAGATATTTAAGCAATGAGACAATCGATCGTTATTGGGATAAAGCAGGAAAGTGGAGTGAGGATTATCAGATAGGCCATGATCTCATTGAATAGTGTAGCAGACTTGATGGGCCACACAGCCTACTTCTGCCCCCTACATTTTATGGTCGTACAACAACAAAATGAGGGCCATTAAGCTGCATAGAATTTAGGAAATTATTACACATGACACTTGCATCAAGCACTCTGCACCATAATTTCCTCAGATACCCGAGATGCTCTTCACTGTAAATATTCAACTGCTAATAATTTCCGTGATTTTAATGCAAGCTTAACTAAGATTTCAAGTTATTGTGGTTGCCAGTCATTTAGCTCTGTTGGATTGTTAAGCAGTCATGATAATTGCAGTTTACTATTCAAATGAAGAAATAATAAGGTTGCTCCCTTTAGATCCATTCCTTTTTAGTGGCACAATTCTGACAGTGTTTAAACTCAGTGGTGCAATGCAAAAATCAAAAGTAGGCTTTTGGTGTTTTGCTTTCAATTTCCATTCTAATTTCAACAAATAGTTTTAAAAATTTGTTGTCCGGATGTTAGTAACTGACATACCCATTTACACTTGACTAAAGTTCAAAGGATAAAATCAGAAATAACACTGGCATTACTGACAGCTTAAACAACTGAAAACGGAAAGTCTGCTTGCTGCCTTGCTTATGGAACCTCAACAGGACAGTGGGTGCACTACTGTTCCATTTAAATAATTAACAAGACAGATATAAAAACAGCTTAAATGTTTCAGCGTTTTACAATTTGAAATTGCATTTTTCTCTGTCCATTAATTCAACTTTCAAGCATCCACTTTAAATACCTCCTAACCAGCATAACACCACAACACAATAGATTTTTACTCTGCTCACTGGTGCAAAAATTGGGGATGGGTGCACCATTGGAAACAGCTGCAGCCAATGTCAGATTGTAGCAAACTTCAGGTTGACATCTCAAGTTTCATGATTCAAATAGAGGGTGAGCAAATACAACCTGAATAATGAAGGAAAATGGTAAGGAAATTGGATACAATATCCTATTCACTAATTTCAAATCTTGAAAGATTATACTAAAGTTGCATAGAGCTCTGAATCAGGAGGCCTAGGTTCAAGCTCCACGTACTCCATAGGAACCCTGAACAGGTTGATTAAAAAGTATCTAAAGTTGTGTAGTGGTTTAACCATATTGCATCACAGCTCAACATGATTTAAAAGGAGACAACAAGGTGCAGGGCTGGATGAACACAGCAGGCCAAGCAGCATCATAGGAGCAGAGAGGCTGACGTTTCGGGCCTAGACCCTTCATCAGAAAAGAGGGAGGGGAAGGGGGTTTTGAAATAAATAGGGAGAGAGTGGGAGGCGGATAGAAGAGGGATAGAGGAGAGGATAGGTGGAGAGGAAACAAACAGGTCGAAGAGGCGGGGATGGAGCCAGTAAAGGTGAGTGTAGGTAGGGAGTTAGGAAGGGGATAGGTCAGTCCAGGGAGGACGGACAGGTCAAGGGGGCGGGATGAGGTTGGTCGGTAGGAGATGGAGGTGCGGCTTGAGGTGGGAGGAGGGGATAGGTGGGAGGAAGAACAGGTTAGGGAGGCAGGGACGAGCTGGACTGGTTTTGGGATGCGGTAGGGGGAGGGGAGATTTTGAAGCTTGTGTTTCAGGAGTCGCAGGGAGAAACGCTTCTGAAGGATCTCAATACCATGAGTGTACATATTGTCACGGTTGGGGCCAAATTGGGAAGGCTTGAATGTGGATTGTAGTCCATTGGGGATGATCTGGTTCCGTAGGCAGGTGCTAAGGAAGGTGATGTGGCTGTAGTACCTGGTTTGCTTCAGGAGGTGGTCGAGCAGTTTCAGGGCCGAAGAGATTACGAGAGAGAGTTGCAGTGGGAGAGAGATCCCTTGAGGTTTGTCTGGAGGGAGGAGGGTAACTTCTTCAGGTTAGGCATCCTTAGAAGAGGCTTCGCAGTGGGGTTAAAATTGAATCAGAGATAGTAGGAACTGCAGATGCTGGAGAATCCGAGACAACAAGGTGCAGGGCTGGATGAACACAGCAGGCCAAGCAGCATCATAGGAGCAGAGAGGCTGACGTTTCGGGCCTAGACCCTTCATCAGAAAAGGGGGAGGGGAAGGGGGTTCTGAAACTGCTCAACCACGTCCTGAAGCAAACCAGGTACTACAGCCACATCACCTTCCTTAGCACCTGCCTACGGAACCAGATCATCCCCAATGGACTAAAATCCACATTCAAGCCTTCCCAATTTGGCCCCAACCGTGACAATATCTACACTCATGGTATTGAGATCCTTCAGAAGCGTTTCTCCCTGCGACTCCTGAAACACAAGCTTCAAAATCTCCCCTCCCCCTACCGCATCCCAAAACCAGTCCAGCTCGTCCCTGCCTCCCTAACTTGTTCTTCCTCCCACCTATCCCCTCCTCCCACCTCAAGCCGCACCTCCATCTCCTACCGACCAACCTCATCCCGCCCCCTTGACCTGTCCGTCCTCCCTGGATTGACCTATCCCCTTCCTAACTCCCTACCTACACTCACCTTTACTGGCTCCATCCCCGCCTCTTCGACCTGTTTGTTTCCTCTCCACCTATCCTCTCCTCTATCCCTCTTCTATCCGCCTCCCACTCTCTCCCTATTTATTTCAGAACCCCCTTCCCCAATGAAGGGTCTAGGCCCGAAACGTCAGCCTCTCTGCTCCTATGATGCTGCTTGGCCTGCTGTGTTCATCCAGCCCTGCACCTTGTTGTCTCCGATTCTCCAGCATCTGCAGTTCCTACTATCTATGATTTAAAAGGAGTTGTTCAGAATCTAGAAGACTAGTGCCAAATAAAAGAACAATGACTTGTTAAACTATTCACTAGCGTCACAGGTATGTAATAGTTAATGAGATATAAATAAACCCAAAACAATAGCTCCCAGACAGAGAAGATAACAAACATCCAAAATTACGAAAGGAAAAATTTAAGACAACAGTATTCCTTTAAAGAGGAAATATATAACAGCTGTAGTTAATTGCGAGGTAGATTGGTTTAAGAAACATCTCAACATTTGCAACAGAGGTAGAATTGGTGCTCTGGAAAATGTTACATGGGCTGTGGTGGCTTGGTTAATGAAACCACTTTTTTCTTTGTTCTTGCATGAGATGAGATCACCAGCAAGGCCAGCAATTTTGCATCCATCCCTGATTGCCCTTGAAAGGGGTAGAAAAGGCAGATAATAGTCAATCATATTGTAGCAGGTCTGAAGTCACATGTAGGCCAGACCAGTTAAGGACAGAAGATTTCCTTCCCTTAAGGAAGCACATGAGTGAACCAATGGGCTTTTACAACAACAGGTGGCAGAATAATGGTCACCATTACCAAGAATGGCTTTCAATTCGAGATTTTAATCTGATAATTTTACTCATTGAATTTACCTTCCTTCAAATGATATGGTGGAATGTGTGCCCATATTCCCACAGCATCAAACTTGGCCTCTGAATCACTAGCCTAATGACATTCCATCACCATCTCGCTATAGCAATAATCTTCGGCTTTCATACCCAACGTGAAAGTATACTCAACATTTACTTTTGTTTTAGAAAAGGAAGAGCTCCTGCATCGCTGGCATCTGAATCCACCATGTAATTTATCTTTAAGCATCTTAAGGGCTATGCTCCTGATCTCACTGTGCTAAGTCTGGCATTACAACTGTTCTTAAGTGTGCAAATAAATAGCAATTTGAATGAAGTAGCTAAAATGAGAATCTACACAAGAATATGAAATTGGATTAATTATGCTGTCTACCACAGTCAAATAGCTGCCAGCTATTTACTCAATTTACTCAAGTGAAAAACAGAAACCTTTTGGATTTCATTGTATTCTGGAGTAGATTACACAGAATTGGAAGCACTCTCCCCACTATGTTGGGGGTAACAACCCTCTTTACAAAACCTTAGCTTGAAATAAAATGATTTACTACTAAGTACCTTTAAATGGAGATTCGAGGACTGGTGCTGGCTTTTGAACAAGGAATATTTTCTTGGCATACTTGCTTAAAGCTCCACTCTTCTCATTTGGAACTATCAGCTGCTTGATAAATCTTGTACGATCTCTAATGTCATAGTTCTGATCATACTTCGCTACATTTAATATGTACTGCATAAGCAATTTTGTCTGTTGGCAAAACAAGAAAATAATACATGTTATTTATGATTATTGATAACTCTGAATAAACATATTCAGAGCTGTAATAAAAATGAATGGTTATGACCAACGAATGTGGCTCCCTTAGGAATACGCATTCCAAAGGCAGCAAATGAAATTTTAGCTAAGACACATGTCCTCATCTGTGCTGAGTAGGTGAATGCTGAATCCTGAGAAGAAGCCAGGCGCTAGATTATTAAACTGCTGAAGTGGAAAGAAAGGCATCATTAAAAAATAATCATAAATGGCAAAGCTGGTGAAGAGTCTACGTGAGGATAATGAATGTAGAAATACAACTAAAAACATACCACTCAAAACTTAATCTGAAAAATATGCAAGACATCAACATATCAGATGATATTAGGCTAGGCACATTTCTACCAAAAGAGGTTAGCTTTATGATGCAACACAGCCCCAAAGCATGTGCAGTGCCCAGAGCTTGAATGCACTTAGCTGCTGCTCACTGAATTATGAACCATTAACTAAGCCATATGAATCAGTGAACTGTATTATTGCAAATTATTTGCAATGTATTTAGCCATTTCTATCCCAGGATAACTAGCTGATGCCCTCTACAACCAAGATAAGTGACTTCAGTGTCACAGTTTCAGTCAATGATTATCAGCATATCAGATGGAAAATAGCCCTATCATTCCATTCAGATTTCATCCTCTAATTCTATTGTTTGTAACTACAAACCGATTTACCAACAAACCTATTAGACATATTCTTGATTTAATGTTAAAATTTGGCTTTAATAATCTATGGTGAGTATTTTTCCAAGGAATCTTTTGTCACTTATTTCTGGTGAAGGCAAAGGGTTAACATGAATAAACAAGGTACAGAAATGTCTAGACTTTGTCAAGATTTTCCAAGTGGACACATTTAGATTTACACTAATGATAGCAACTTTGATTAGAGTGGGTAAAATTCCAAATAAGCACTGCCAGATATGATTTCATAAAACAAGATCTCAGTCATCCTCAATTTAAAATCATTAAATGTACACGATTTGCTATCAATGACTCAAAAACAGGGTATTAGCATTAAGGAAAAAAATTTCTGTTAGGCTCAAATTAAGCAGCTTCAGATAAGGTACAACTTACATACTGAAGCCTCCTTCCCTCAATTCTCAGACCCCAGCAGGTTTAAAAAAAAATCTATACAACACAGACAATTACTGATCAACTCCACTTTATTTAAAGCTTGAAAGCAAGTGTCAATTGACACTAATTCTGCACTATTTTGCTCAGGGACCTTACATCTACACAGCATTGTTTAATTTTTAGTACTTCAAACTCAAAAGATTGCCATTTAGATAATCACAATAAGTAGGACTAGATCATTGTTCAAATTTGCAGATTCCAGGGGAGACAGTAGTGTTGTTTTAATGTCATTTGATGAGTAATCTCGAGGCTGAAGCTAATGCTGCGGGGGGAAAAGGCTCAAATCCCACCAAGCAGCTGATGGAAATAAAATTCAAGTATTAAGATCCGAAATTCGATTGAGTTTAGAAGGATTAGAAGGGATTTCATTGAAACTTACGGAATACTGAGAAACTTGGATAGAAAGGTCCTGGAAAAGATGCTTGGACCTGATAGCACTGCCTGAAAATGAAAGAAACCTTAGAACCAAGATGAAGAGGAATTTCTTTAGCCAGAAAGTGATGACTTTGTGGAACTCATTTCCACAGAATGCTGTGGACGCCAACTCATTGATTGACTTTACGACAGAAATAGATAGGTTCTTGATTAGTAAGGGGATCAAGGGTTGCTGGGAGTAGACAGGAGAATGTAGTTGAGAAACGTATCAGCCATGATCAAACGGTGGAGCAGGCTCGATGGGCCGAATGGTCTAATTCTGCTCCTATATCATATGGTCTTTTGAAACGTAGTCTCATTAACTGTGATAATGAACTAGCAGCAATTGTTGTAAAAACCCCGTTTGGTTCACTCTAGGGAAGGAATCTTCCATCCTTACCTGGTCTGGCCTACAAGTGACTCCAGACCCACAGCAGAGGTGGTTGCCACTTAACTGCCCATTGAAATAGCCTAGTAAATCACTTCATTTAAGGGCAATGAATGTTGGCTTTGCCAGCAATGCCCACATGCTATGAAAGAATAAATAAAAAGTATCATTTAAACATACTTAAATGAAGGAAAATATTTCAGTAAGAGAAATACTTGGCATAATAAGTTGAAAACTAGTTGAATCTCTTCAGTTGTACATATTTCTGTGTGTTTGGTCAAAGAATCCAGTCTAAGCAGATAACCATGACTCGAAAGAATTGGTACATCTGTGACATTTACCTACGTGTACTGAGGAAACTGGTTATCTTCCAACAGACCGCTTTAAAATTACAAACTCTACAATTCACAAAATATCCAAAAACAGCGTATTGCTTGTAAAGTGATCTAAGGCATACTTGCATTGCTTTATACAAGTCATTCATTAGTGAAACCTTATCCTTTTGCTCTGTAGCTTGAGGCTAGTTTTGTATCACATCACCATAAATGCCATCAACTGAAAGAATGGAAACAGAAAACAACATTGCAGCAATCAAGACCATTCTCCTCACAGATCATATATAGGAACAGACTCTCAGCAACATGTCAGGTATTTGCACATGCCCATTCAAATTCATGGAGTAAAATAAGTGTAATGCAACTGGTTGAGGAAACCTGCCTCGGTCAGAAGTCTAATAATGCAATGCCAACCAGTGGCAAAAGAGATCAACTTAAACTTAAAAATTAGCACTTAACATACTCTACACTTCTGTTCCCTTTAACTATGAATAACTTGTAAACAGATGACAAATTAATAAAGAAAAGCACATTCAAAATTTTAAAAAATTCTACAGATGCAAAGGGAAGACTTAAACTTTGCATATCTCTGAAGAAAAAATACGATCCTTTGTTGGGTTCTCACCTGTTTAGGATTTGTTAAACAGAGTTTAGCTCCCAGGTTAAGAATTTGTAGTTTCACTATCTCCTCTTCAGTTGTAAAGCTCTTTGCCACTTTCCTCAGAACATCTGGTGCAATCTTTGGGACACGCTCACAGTATTCACCTATCAACCAAAGGATACTTGCTCGAGCCATAGGTACCTCGAAAAAGGGAAGAGGCAAGTTAAGTTTGCGAGATGATTAAATAGTTCCAAAAAAACATTTTTCAATTTGGACAGCATTAAAATTAAATAGGATACAATAGTACAGAACTTTCTTTTCAAAAAGGTTCGACATGCAATAATTAACTAGGAAAATATTGAGGAGTTACTCAAATACATTGATGAGTCATAAAAATTATACAACTTTCCAAAGGAGTGAGAGACAGCCAGCACAAAAATGCAACTAGAGGAACATTTTCCCCACAAGAAATGTTCAAGTATGAAAAGGTAAACTGCATATCTTAAAATAAAAACTACAAGAACAAGTCCAAAATGCACCCACAGTATTAACTAATTTTAACAACAATCCAGATGCCAGATGAAAAGGACCAAGATTAAACAAAAATGAATGAACTATCTAGGTAGACAATATCATCCATTTGTACCAGATGTGATGAGATCGTACAAAGGAGAGTTACCAAAAATCTTATGGGTACCTGGCTATTGCCAAAGTGTTATTAAGGCACTGTTGATTTTCTACCAGACTGAAAGCCAACATATCATTTGTGAAATGAGTACGGGGATTCTGATGTCTAGCACCTAAGATATTCCACAGAATTTTTTAGTTTTAGTATTATGCATACATGCAAAGAAAACTCAGATACATACACATACATGCACACTAACAAAACTTGCAAAAAAGAAAGTGCCCCACATCCATATTTTCAGATGACCCCAGTTAGGAGGCACCAAGCTGTATGAGTGAAAGCAGGAAGTTCCAAAGGGGCAGATTAAATGAGTGTTCAAAACTGTTGAGATAAATTTCAAATGTGGGGAAGTGGAAAATCTGAAAAAGGCAAATCAACATATTTTATCAATGTTAAGAGGCTATGACAACCAAATTCCTGGACACAATGTACACAAATGACTATAAAACTCGTCCATTGCAAACAGCATTTAGAACAGCAACAGCTCATTTTGTATTTGAAATCAAGGCTATGAAGAAAGATGAGAGAAACTCAAGTCTGCAAGGAATGCAATATGAAATATAAAATGTTAAATGATGTAACGGAGTCAAACTTATGACTTAATTAAGCCAGAAAATTAGAACCACGAGGCATAAAATATTCTCTTTGCAAGTAAATTTTTAGGTTACAAGTTTTGTTTTCATTTTTCTTCACATTTATCTCTTATTTGAAGATGTGAAATATCTGTTAAGTGGAAGAACACAGACAAAACTAAGAACAACATTATGAAATGGGATTGGATGTTATAATTGGGAAGTTATAGTCCAGCATATTATGTGTGGATGATCCATATGACTGACTGATGTTTTAAATGAATACATCAAACAGGTTATACCATTCACGTGGGGCTGAGATAAAGGGAGTAGATTTAGTGGATGGTTTAATGACATTAAAATGTCTTTTGTTTTGTCTGCTGACATATGTAAAACTTATCCCAAATCTTAGAGCCAATACACTCGCTTCTGGTTCTTGGCAGGTATAATGTCCTGTCAGGTTTTCCCATTTATAATCAGTTAGAGTATTACAAAAGAATACAAGCAAAAAAATGCCAAATTGTTAACATTTGCATTGGTTCATAATATTTTCAATCTGCATTTGCTTCAAACTCTATTGAAAAGTAGGATGAAATGGATTGTGAATGAGAAGATCCTCTTACCTTGCTACTCCATGAATCATATGCATTAAGCCAAAAATACAAAAATCAAAAAACCATGAATAAAAATCAGAAGCCCTGACAACACCAGGATACACCATACATGTGAATTAATAGCATATGTTATAGCACATTGAAATTTGTTGATTTTATGATCAGGAACGCATTTCAGATACGTCACCAGATACCAAAGATGCACAAGTAGGGCAATGCATTTGAATAATAGGCCTGTGCTAAAACATCAATATTCATGAGAACACTTGTGTTTAGCAGCTAAAACAGACTTGCTTTCCTTCAACACTTATGGTTTATAATACTTACTGTAATATTGCCCAAAAGCTTGGCCATATGTTTGATGATTTCACTGTGCTGGGATGGTTGTGTCTGGAGTAGTTTCTTAATGACAACTACACTTTCTGCGACAACATTTTCTGAAAAACATGGAGTAATCTCTGACATAAAACCAGGCTTTAATAAAATTAACAACCAAGTTACTACTTCAGGTCCTCCAGAGCTCCTCAGGGTGCTTCACATTTTGCCCAAAGAGGTGAAATGCAATTGAAATACCAATAAAACTGCAATTTCTAATTCAAAATAATAACATTCATTGTCACGATTTATTTCCAAACTATTGCTTGTAAATCTTAAATGTGTATATTTGAAATTTAAACAAAGAAAAGACTGAAAGAAAATCAAAAATCAAATAATCCAAAGATAGAAAGCTACTTTGCTCAAGGGATGAGCATGGTTGGTCTTTTCATGTTTGATTTTTGGTGTGTCAGTGTAGGAGAACATTGGTATCAGAATGCCTATTCAATTCTTGAACCACAGCAAGTGCATAGTGCAGACTAATAATTCCAATTAAAACAAAGGATTTGCAAAGCATGCTTTCCACCTCGTTCTTAGCACTATTATGCTGCACATCAGTTGTAGTCTATGCTAACTCATCCAACCAATCACCTATCCATGGACAAACTAAGAGCTTTCATTCACTGGTTGTGAGGGTTACTGCCAGGCTAGCATTTATTGCCTATCCCGAGAAGACGAGTGATAGTGAGTTGCCTTCTTGAACTGCTGCAGTCTATTTGCTGTAGGAAGTCTTTCAATGCCATGAGGGGGGGGCGTTCTGGTGACACCAAGGGAACAGATTATATTTCCAAGTCAGGAAGATGAGTTTCTTGGAGGGGAACTTGCAGATGGTGGTGCTCCCATGTATCTACTGCCCTTGTCCTATAGGTGATGGTGGTTGTGCGTTTGGAAGAAGATGCTGCTGAATGTGTTGGTGAATTTCTGAATTGCATCTTATGCACACTGCTGCTATTGAGCACCAGTGGTAAGGAATGTGAATAGTTTTGGATATGGTGCCAATCATGTGGCTACTTTGTCCTTGATACTGTCAAGTTAGACTGCTGTTGGAAGTGCAGTCATCCAGGCAAGTCAGAGATACACTGGCTTGAGCTTGGCCAACGATTTTCGGGAGTCAGATGGTAAATCACACACTGCAGTATTCCTAATCCTGTTCTTGGGGCCACAGTATGAAGAGCACATGGCACAGGAGTAGTGCAGGCCATTTGATCCATTGGCCATGGGTCTGCCATTCAATGAAATCATGGCTAATCTGATAATCCTCAATTCCACTGCCCTGTTTTTTACCATAACTCTTAATTAGAAATCTGTATCTCAGCCTCATTTATACTTAATGGCCCAGGCTCGACAGCACTCTGTAGTAAAGAATTCCACAAACTGAATCTTCTGAGAGAGAAAACCGCAATTTTGACAAGGTCTCTGCTCATTCTTCTAAACTCCAATGAGTACAAGCCCAACCAACTCACTTCTACTCCATACCTGGAATCAATCTAGTGAACCTTCTCTGGACTGCCTCCAATGCCAGTACATCATTTCTTAGACAAAGGGAGCAAAGCTTCCTACCAACATGCATACTCTTACATTTCCCCACATTATTTGCTACCTGTCAAGTTTTTGCTCGTCACCTCATTTACCTGTCTACCGATGCTGCCATCCTTACAACTTGCCTTCCCACCTATTTTTGTCATCAGCAAACTCGGCAATAGTACATTCAATTTCCTGATCCAAGTCATAAAAATACATTGTAAATAACTGTGGTCTCAGCATTGATCCCTTTGACACTCCACTAGTTTGAGATTGCCATCCTGAAAATTCCCCTGCTTCTCAACTCTCAACCCAGTTAGTTAGCCATTATTCTATCCATACTAAAAATACTATCCTCAGCACCTAAATCTTAATCATCCTTATCTATAGTACCTTACTGAATGCTTTTTTGGAAATCCAAATATATTACTACTACTGGTTGTCCTTTATCTTTTTGCTCATTACCTCGTCAAACTGCAATTTGTCGGACATTACTTCCTCTTTATGAAACCACGCTGACTCTGCTTAATTTTATGATGTATTTCTAAATACTTTGCTACTGCACATTTTGTATCAGGTTCTAACATTTCCTAATGACAGATATTACACCAACTGGTAAGAGTTGCCTATTTTTTGTCTCCCTCTCTTTTTGAGGAAGGACAGATACTATCAGTACATACATGTGACTTCAACTTAATTCACAACACCAGGTCATAGCCCAACAGGTTTATTTGAAATAAAGCTTTTGGAGCGCTGCTCCTTCCTCAGTTAACGTGACAAAGGAGCAACACACTGAAAGCTTATGACTTCCAATAAACCTGTTAGACTATAACCTGATGTTGTGTGACTTCTGCTTTTGTCCACCCCAGTCCAACAACCCATCTCCACATCATGGCTACATTTGAATTAATAGAGCACTACAGGAAGATTAGGATACCAAGTTGAGGAGAATCTATTGCCATGGAAGTTTAAGCCAAGATTGGTTAGTGTATGACCAGTGAGGGTCATGCCACCCAATTAGCATTTCAAGTGATGACAAATTATGTGCAGACAGTATCACAAGATCTAGGGAGACATAGACAATTAACGTTAACATTCATCAAAAGCGTAATTTGTGATTTTTGTGAAAGTCATTTCAGTGCTCCTAATAGGGAGTCATGGGAAAGGAGGTTAGGGTTTGGAGACAACATGTTCAGCAACTTTCTTAAAGAATTATCTACTCAAACATGAAAACAATAAATTTAAAAAACAATTTATCATGAATCATTAAATGATACAACTGAATGGAATACTGCCCTTATTTGAAGGGATTTGGAGTATGAGAGTAGGGAAGACTTACTGCAACTGTACAAGATGCTCATGAGACCACATCCGGAGTACTGAGAGAAATTTTGGTCTCTTTGCTAAAGAGGAGACATTATTCCATTGGATGCAGTCCGGTGAAGGTACACTAGGATGATCCCCGGTATGGAAGGGTTGTCTTATGGCCAAAGGCTAAACAGGTTGGAACACTATTCATTGGAATTTAGAAGCATGAAAGTGATCTAGCTGAAAATGTATAGGATTATGGGACTTGACAGAGCAAATGCTGAGAGGATGTTTCCCCTCATGAAAGTCTAGAATTGGACAGTTTAGTCTTAGAATAAAAGGGGTGCCAATTTAAGATTGAAATGAGGAGGAATTTCTTCTGAGGGTCAAGTCTCTTTAGAACACCTTGCCGCAGAAAGTGTGGGGATGGAGTCCTTGTATACACTTAAGGTTGAGAAAGATAGATTCTTGATCAGTAGGGGAATCAAGGGTTATGGGGAAAGGACAGGAAAATGGACGAAAGGCAAGTAAGATCAGCCATGACTCAACTCAACGTGCAGGCTTGAGGGGCCGAATAGCCTACTCTGGTTCCTATTGCATATGGTCTTATTTGGTCTATTAAGTTTGCAGTAGCTTCTTTGAAGAATAATATACAATTCTCATTTTCCCCTCTTGGAGCACATTTTCCTTTCTGCTTATTTGTCAATTTTCCCTACTTATTGGTGAATCTCTATCCACCGTAGAAAACTTCCCAAAGTATTTATTTGGGGAGGATAAAAGCATGCTGTGAGCCTTCAAGAGAGCTGACACAGATTTGAAGATCTGTCCAAAAACGTGTTTTGGAAGCTTTTTTACTCCTGCTTCATGTATTTCTTTTTATTCATTCATGGGGTGAGGGCATTGCTGGCTAGCCAGTACATATTGCGTATCCCTAATTACCCAGAGTTAAGAGTTAACCACATTGCTGTGGGACTGGAGTTGCACATAGGCCAGACCAGGTAAGGATGGCAGTTTCCTTCCCTAAAGGGCATTAGTGAACCACATGGGCTTTTCCGACAATCAACAATGGATTCACGGTCATCATTAGACTCTTAATTCAAGATACTTATTGAATTCAAATTCCACCATCTGCTATGGCGGGATTTGAACCTGGGTCCCCAGAACGTTACCTGGATTACTGGATTCAGTGATAATACCACTAGGCCATCGTCTCCCTCATGTTTGATGGTAACGAAGAAAGCCAAAACAACTGAAATATATATATAGTGCCTCTAACATAGTGAAATGTTACAGGCCCTTCACAAAAAGCTTTCCAAAATAAAATATGACACTGGCCCACATATGGAACTATCAGATGGCCAAAAAAATTAGTGAAAGACGTAGATTTTAAAGGAGTGTCTTAAGCTAAGAGGAGACAGACAGGTGTAGGGAGGCCATTTCAGCTCTGAGGGGCTAGGCACATGAAGGTGCAACTTCATGGTCACAGAATCTCAGAATTGTTATGCTGCAGAAAGCCGTCATTTGGCCCATCACGTATGCACTGTCCCTGAACATCTTAACGTTATTTTACTGTTTTCTCCCCGCAACATTGTTTCCATTTAAATCTTCATCCAATGCCCCTTGATGCCTCGATTCAATCTGCCTCCAACATGCATAATTGCATTTATCACAATGGATTCCAGACCTTAACTACTTGCTGCGTGAAATACATTTTTCCCCACCTCACATTTGCTTCTTTCGCAAAACTATAACCTCCGATTCTTGATCATCAGGAGGAACAGTTTCACCCCATCCACTCCATTTAGAACATTCACAATTTTCAAAATTTCTATCAAATGATGAATAGGTGAATAGGAAGGGAATAGAAGGATACAGATTCTCTAAGTGAAGACAGTTTTAGTACGGAAGGGCAAAATGTGTTGGCGCAGGCTTGGCAGGGCAAAGCACCTGTTCCTGTGCTGTATTGTTCATTATTCTTAAATCTCCTCTTAACTTTCCCTTCGCCATGAATAAACTGTCCCAACTGTAGCAATTTTTCCTCATAACTTAAGTATCATCTACTTGGTACAATTATCATTAAACACTTTGCAGTTTCAGTGCATTGAGTATAGGAGTTGGGAGGTCATATTGCAGCTCTGCAGCACATTGGTTCGGCCACTTTCAGAGTATTGCGTGCAATTCTGATGTCCCTCCTGTAGTAAGGATGTCGTGAAACTAGAAGGGGTTCAAAAAAGATTAACAAGGATGTTGCCAGGGTTGGAAAGTTTCAGCTATAGGCAGAGGCTGAACAGGCTGAGGCTATTTTCCCTGGAGCATCTGACGCTGAGGGATGACCTTCGAGGTTTATAAAAGCATAAGGGGCATAGATAGAGTAAATAGGCAAGGTCTTTTTCCCAGGGTGGGGGGAGTCCAAAACTAGAGGGCATAGGTTTAAGGTGAGAGGGGAAAGATTTAAAAGGGACCTAAGGGGCAACTTTTTCATGCAGAGGGTGGTGCGTGTATGGAGTGAGCTGCCAGAGGAAGTGGTGGAGGCTGGTACAATGACAACATTTAAAAGACATCTGTATGTATATATGAATAGGAAGAGTTTAGAGGGATAATAGGCCAAATGCTGGCAAATGGGACTAGATTTATAAAAGATATCTGGTCAGCATGGACGAGTTGGAACGAAGGGTTCGTTTCCATGCTGAATATCTCTATGACTCTGATCCCAACGTATTCACAACCTTCCTGTAGTTTGACACCCAGAACAATATTCCAACTAATGTCTAATATCAGTGTCTCACATAAGATCAGCACAACCTCACTACTCTCACCCTCTCTGCTCTAATAAGAAAGCCTAAAATACTATTTTAACAGTATTAACAACAGCCCTTTCTAGCTGTCCTGGCACTTGCATTAATTATATACTCAGGTCTTTCTGCTCCTGTATGCCCTTTGGAATAGTATACAGTTTCGTACTGTCTCTTCATTTTGTTCAAACAAAAGGCATCACCGCACAATTCTGTGTTGAAATTCATTTGCCATCTAGCCACAAAATTGTCCATGCCCCTTTTAAGTTATACACCATCTTCCTCAGAATTTATAATTCTCCCAAGTTTTGTATCATCTGCAAACTTTGAAAGTATCTTCTGTATACCGAGATCCAGGTCATTTACACATTAGAGGAAAAACAAGGGTCCCATCATTAACCCCCCAAGAAACTCCACTAGAAACCTTCTTCCAGGCTGAAAGGTATTCAATAACAGTTACTCTGTGTCATATCCTTCAGCCATTTGTATCCACATGGCTGCTGTACCTTTTAGTCCATGACCTATAACTTTCCTCAACTCGTGTAGCACAGTATAAATTGCCTTTTCTAAGTCCATGTACGCATTATCAACGCCTTCCCCTTATCAACTGTTATCCCTTCAGAAAACCCAGCAAGACAGTTTGGTATGATATTCCCTCAAGTCTAATTGACCTTTCTAAATCAATTCATCTTCTTCTGTGTGACAATACGTTAAATTAAAATGTCCTTATGAACTCCCAGAAATGCGCCTTCAGGATCTCATTTGCCTTCTTGCCCATCTAATAGATGCCAGCATGGACCTCAACAGTCATCTGTTCTTCATCTCCCAACAACGTCCTGTAAGCTCCGAGGTCCTTGACCTTGGAAAAGCAATGTATCTTTCCAAAATCTGTTCCGTTAATTTAAGAAACTCCCCTCAGTACTGCTCTTCCACTCTTTCCTCCCCCCACCCCCAATTCCTGCAAAGCTGAGTTACATGCAGTGCAACTGACTTGGTTCTAACTACATTCTTCTGAGGAACCATCACCCTTACCACTATGCAAAGTAGAAAACTGTTTCGTGGGCAAGACAATCGGCATGAAGATCTCTGCATTTA